ATGCTGTCGATGATGATGAGGATGATGATGATGATGATGATGATGATGATGATGATGATGATGATGATGATGATGATGATGATGATGATGAGTGCAGTAATACCGTAAACTTCTTCTTATATGACTTCGTCCTTAGGGGATTTGTAAAAGAGGCTTGTTGGAAACGGAAGTCTCAGATAAACTTTTCGTTTAGGATATTCTTCAATTGGACAGGCTGCACGCAAGTCACCTCACTTTCCGAATATCATGCTAACTGAAACATAAGCAACCTTTTACGTAACACGTTACTTGACTAAAACCGCAAACAAGATATCCGGTTTTGTCCTTCTTGGGGCTCATCAAAACCACCAAGTTTTCGTCAACCGAACGTTCTACCTGAATCCCGTCTTGGAATTTGGTATTGTCGGGACACTTGGCAGTATTCAGATAAACCTATCGTTTATGATGGTACCCCTCGATTGAATATGATTCTTCAGGCCGCCTTATATTTCTGTTGATACGAAATCCGAGACATCGCTGTCCGGGCGCAGTACAATGACCACGACAGCAGATGACCGATTTCGCCCTTCTTTCGTCAACATTACGTTCTACTCAATTGGAAGGAGTTCGCAAAATACTTTCACTGGCATAAGAATTATATTTTTACGGAAGACTTAACAGAATCCCGCAGAATCATTTGTTTGTAACGCTCTGATTGCAAATGTTGTCCGATTTGATCTAATTTGGAACCTACTTTCGACGAAAACTTGGGGATCGCCCCAAGAAGGACGACATCGGTCATGGGCTGTCGAAGAATTTTCAGCAACCTTATGAGTAGTGTATTGCGTATCTACATGCGTCGCGATATCTCGAATATCGTAGCGACTGAAACATGAGGCGGCCTGGTGCAGCACATTCAGTTGCTTAAAAAAGCCTCATAAACGCGTGATTCAGCCGGATTCCAAGTGAATGTCCCGTAAAAAACAAACTGATGTGCAACTATGTGCATTTCACTCGTTTCAGGTTCTAGTGAAAGGAAGAAGGCTCTTGCTGTGGAGTTATTCATTCGGAAATGCCAACTGACCGGTTACAGACCATTGAACAGGGAAGCAAAACACTAATCTGCATCTTAGTTCCAAAAACTGGACACAGGTCTTCTCCCGAACGAGTCTTCCCATTCGTTGGTCAAATCTAAGCAAATGTTTCACAGTGGTCTCACGAATTCCGCAACAGAATTCCATTTTTCAGTCGACCCAAAGTGAAATTCTACGAACAACACATACTACTCGCGTGCCTCCCGATCAGTAGTATCACCGTTACACTAGTAGAACCTGAGGTTAACGGGGGACTGTGTCTACCTGATGAGCCCCAATAAGTGTAAAACCAGTCGTGATGTTTCAATGAGTTTTAATCAAGCTTATGGGTACTGTGTTACACCTACTCGTTGTGTTGCTATATCATAGCAACTGAAACATGAGATGGCTTAGAGCAGCACTTTCAACTGAAAAGGACAATTATGAACGAGAGATTGGGATGGAATATGGTTTTAAGGGATCCAGCGGGTAACGGCGTCACATATCGTTCATCTTCACACATCATGAGTACTACAGACATGCCAGATGGTGACCTGAGCACACTCACTATCCGACCAACTAACCGGCGATCTGTACGCATATGGGAGACAACAGTCATTTTGGCTTGACAAAACAGACTGTTCGCAAGGTTACCGAAATTCTTTTGCCCCTCTTGGGGAGACACACGTTTAGTTGTTATTTACTCTGGTGCTACTCTGGTACCTATCCCTACAGTTCAGAATAGGGACAGAGTAGCGATACCCTTGAGAGTACATGGCTCATCTCTATGCCTTACATCATCCCTAAGTAGGGGCTTATTCTAGCTGGTTGAACAGTCTTGTAAGAGACGATATAGGTGCACTTTATGGGATCCGTTCATTTTGTGTAAACGGTTAAACAGCGTCCACTACGGTAAGCTGGATTGACGTGAATCATCACGGATGGCTTCGCTATGATGAATCTTTATGGGGGGCGAGATGGCTCAAGTGGCTAGAGTGTAAATTTACTGACCGGAAAACCCGTGGTTCGAATCCGACCTCTGCCTCTTGACTTCCTCTGTCTAGACTTGGGTAACCTGACAGTATGCCAGCACTTGTGCTTCCTTTGGGTGGCATGACAGCTATGCATCGAAAGGGTGTTACGGCTGAATGATTAGCCTTCTTTATCTTAATCTTCGTTTGTTCTTTAAGCGACCTTAAACCGTGCTTTAGTCGGACACATTCACAGCGCAGAAACATATCCAATTCCTGACAGGAGGAATATCTGCTTTCGCATGAAACTGCAAGGATTTATAACGAGGCAAAGTTTTAGTGGTAACAATTGAAAATTTATCCTCTCGCTGAAACACGGCGAAAAAGCCCTTTTATTGCCAAAACAACAAATTCTAAACCAGCAGGAAACCACTTGCTTTATGAATCGTTTTTGTTCCAGTCCGGTTTTGGAAGATTAACGGCACACCACTTGATTCTTTCTACCGGGTGGTCCTGGAATAAAATATATGATGTACTGATTTACACAGCATGTTTTCTTTCGTTTTAACTGTCGCCCATTATTTGTGTTTTCCCAGAACAAAATGGGTTCACCCGTGGCCTAAAAGCATCGGTGCATACTATCGCGGAAGGATAGAATGTGTATAGGCCATTGAATGGCACTCAAGCAGTGCACTTAACATCTTGGCTGGTAAAACAGTGCAACCGATGATGGATGGCCATTCGAGCAACGCCACCGTAGAGCCTTTTCGAAACCTTAATGTGACTTAAAAACGTTCAACCGTAGCCCCCTTTCGGTGCCCAACTGCCATGCAACACGAAGGTTGCACGAGGGCTGGAATACTGCCAGGTTGTCCAAGCCTAGACAGGGAAAGTCGAGAGGCAGAGGTCGGGTTTGAACCACGGACCTTCCGGTCAGTAAATTTGCGCTCTAACCACATGGGCGAGAACATGACTGTTGTGTTCTCTCCCTGTATTAAAAATACTGTGGAAGATATTCAGTTGAATTCTTCAGGGAAGCAGTGAATTTTGGTGACGCTACTGCGGTTGTTTCCCTGCAACGAATGCAAGCACCATAATGAAGTGAAGCTCTCCTAATTTGTACATCTACAGGTTCCGCAGCAGCGGTTCTTCGGGGAATCTGAAGAATCTGAGGAAATCTGCTTCTCAGGCGGATTCGACTGCTTTTTACAGTCATCAAACTACCTTTTGATGATGACAGTTGTATTCGGCACACGTGTGTTGGCCGAGGTTTGTCAGCGAAACTTTGCACCGATAAAGGGCAGAAAAAACGCTAAATTCTAAGCCCCCAACTGTTCCCGGGATTGCAGATGCTGTACACCCATGACGCTTAAGCGCACATGTATAATTAGTCAACATTCCTACACCAGTTAATGCCTAGGAATGTTGCATTGGTTCCATTTTCCTCATCCTATCCTCACTTCAGGTAAAATAGACCAATGGATACTGCAAAAGAAACACTTGTATGTATAAGGAGATGCATCAGAAATACGAAGCGCTACCTGATTAGGATGTTTCGCATACTATCCCACACCGAGACCCGTCCTAAAACGAAGTACGTGTTTTTGAAATCACCAGGTTGTTTATTTGCGTGGATACTACTGCACTGTGTCCATCAGTTCACTATCCAAACAGTTTCATCGTCAAACATCATTCGGCTCATCGTTGTTTGGTTCATCGGATTAATTTGTGTTGTTCTCAAAGCCATCCTCGCATTGATTGATTGATTGATTGATTGATTGATTGATTGATTGATTGATTGATTGATTGATTGATTGATTGATTGATTGATTGATTGATTGATTGATTGATTGATTGATTGATTGATTGATTGATTGATTGATTGATTGATTGATTGATTGATTGATTGATTGATTGATTGATTGATTCTACTTGGAATTCATCCGATCGTACCTCGCTATGATAAATGCTTTACTTTTCCTCTACGAAATCGTTGTTGGGAGAGTTGAGTATCATTTATTCCTTGTTCCCGGAGAAGGATCGTCCAAACAATGTGCAGCAGATGAATAAACGCTAGTTTAAAGTTTCCCTTGGTTAGTAACTGTGAAACGCATGCCGTCAGTGGTCTATAGAAGCGTGAGCTGCTCTCTCGGCCGTAAAAATGGGGCAATGGACCCACCCTACATGACATTTGGGGGCGAGATGGCCCAGTGGTTAGAGCGCGAATTTACTGACAGGAAGGTCCGTGGTTCGGGACCGACGTCTGTCTCGCGACTTCTCCTGTCTCGGCTTCAGTAACCGGGCAGCATACAACCCTCGTTCTTACTTCGGGTGGCATGGCAGCTAATCACCGAAAGGTTGTTATAGCTGTATGATATTTCAAGTGTGTGGTGAGGTATCCATGCCGCTTCTAACAACAACCTCGCTCCGTCGAAGATCATCGACAAGGTCATCCATCCAATGGAATGTTTTTCTTATCTCAAGGTAGCAGACAGATGCATCAGTGCATTTTTGTTTTCCGGTCGGGCCGGATACACCCACATCTGAAGCACATCGAAATCGAGGGCAGAGTTAAGGGAACGAACAAATCCAATTGGAGTCGATAGTGAACTACCTCGTGAACAATCTGGAATTTTCCGAGCAGTCGAGCCTTTGAGTGGAAAAATCTCACCTGAGAACGTGCTCTGCCTCCTAATTACTTCAACAAAATGCAACTAATGACATACCCAAGAAGCCCGCTTCGTAAGGACCGGTATGTTCAACACACCACCACCTGAAAGTCCCCATCCAACCAAATAGATTTCCTTTTCTAACATCCGATCCCTTAAGAATACTATGGTGGCATTTCGCCAAACCATAAAGTAAAGTTTGTATGAAAGTGGGTTCTTCTCACGGATGAAACCCGGGTTCCATTCTTACCAGCCCACAGGGGTCCGTTGTGTTATCATACCACTGGTAAGGTCTCAAATTGCTTTCCTCATTTTTTCAAGCTGTTTGCTGTCGTTTATCTGCGGTGCTTTATACACCGCATATCTTTCTTCAATGAAACAAGTGCTGTCTTTGTTTGCCAGTTGTTTGGCAGTACCAAGCAGAACAATTTCTTGGATTCATTTAATCCACCCAGTGATTAGCGGTTCCGGACACTGGATTTCGGAGCACCCCAAGGGAGGGGGACTTCTCTCGAAAATGTCCAAGTTCAGGTTGGCAGTGCCAGCGTCCTTTTAGAAGTTCATCCACTTTCAAAATGCCTTCAAAAGATCAAAATCACCAACAGAATACTAGTCTAGTTGGGCTGCTCAATACACTCTCCGAAAATCATTAGCCAAAATCATTAGTGCAAGTGCGAGATGGTCCAAGTTGTTAGAGCGCGAGTTTACTGACCGGGAGGTCCGTGGTTCGAACCCGACCACTGCCTCTCGACTTCCTCTGTCTGGGCTTGGGCAACCTGGAAGTGTCTCAGCCCTTGAACAACCTTTAGGTGGCATGGCAGTTAGGCACCGAAAGGGTGCTACAACTGAACGAAACCAAAGATCACTCGAAATTTACAAGTAACAAGTACCTCTTGCGCGGTTCCAAGATGCATCAGCTCCGCACTGAAGGCAATCTAACGATCCAGCTATCTAATTGGTGAGTATGTAGTTGACGGAAACTCGGGAGCTAAGCCGGCGTGATGATCCCCAAGAGGGTCGCTTTGGGCTCTCAAAGTGCTTTTAGCAAAGTGAGCAGTAAGCACTTCCGTCAAGGAAATTTCCCCTAACCTTTTCACCCTGAAAACACAGATCTACCTGGTTTGATGCTTACTTTCGTTGTATTCCATCCATAGAGCTCGGCGCGGACAGACACCATTTGAAGTCACTTACAGTCTTATTGTGGGATGAAAATTCACGCGATTCCAATCAAGACTTGATTGACAAAATACAGTGGTTGATCTTTTAACCGAGCTGTATAACCCGACGGTTCACTGAGGCATTATTCTTCGGTTCGCTTGAGATAACCGATTTCGAAAAGATTGCAGCCGTTTGTGTGTGACCGAACGCGCAGAGAACAAGCTGGCGTCTAACACGTCGAAACCATTTTGGTAGCCGTTTCTTTTCTATGGCCGACGTTGGAACACTTCAGCCCCAAAAGTGAGTTGATCTGGCGTTGACTTTTTAAAAATTCACTGCAGATGTTAGTTTAACGCTCCAGAGAGGATTTTGTAATTCAACGTGGTCTAATCAGCACCCAATACCCCCGAAGCCTCGGCTTTACTCGTTTGGACCGGCTTCGCCTACAGAACGAAGTCTCCACGAAAAGCTCAATATCTCCTCACTCTACCCACAGAGCCGTGATCTTATAAGCTTCTAATAACCTGGGTTTCATCCAGTTCACAAGGCTTCTGAAAATAACTGAGGGCTCCGCGGAAGAACCAAGCCCTCTGGATGGATACGCTGACCCAAATGCACCGGCTTGACGACTGGTGACCTGTTCCGAGGTTTGATAGGCAGTCCAGAGGCCTCTAAGTTGGTCGCTTTTCAGTGTTTTTTTGCCTGGTATCAAGAGGACTTGTATGCACGACAGGTGCGACCGACTGGTGTGAATGTTTGTGCTAACCACTCCAATAGTTGCGATGTGATTCCCACAGGTCAAGTGACCAACTGAACTCTGGTCAGCAGACCATCTCACCTTTGTACATAGATGATTACAGCCTCTGGATCGACCCAGCTGCCTGTTAGGCTCAGTGCAAATCTCACGTGGTGCCTTGCCCTTTAGGCGCACACCACAATGAGTTCCACTCGCGTAAAACTTCCATTTTTCTTGAAAAATTAGCCTGTCCGAATAGTGAAAAAAACTGGCCAGGCGAGATGAGACAAGAGACTAGGGACAACTCGACAATTACGGCCAACATCATTAGTTAAGTGAGCAGATTGTAGTGGCATGGCAAAAGCGAGCAACCACTTGTGATTTGGTGAGCCAGAATAGTTCATTCAACCGGAAAACACTTGTAACCCAGCGATAGTTGATCACTTCAGGAAAATGAGGGGAAAATAGCGAGATTTACTGTTGGGAACACTTATGCTCTTGTCTTGCCAGATTACA